TGAGCAATTTCAGAATATCTTTTTGACAGTGACGGAGGAATGAAAGCGAGGAAGGAAAGACAAAAATTATGATAATTCCCTATTTGGGGTTTTATCTTCCCTTGGTCTTCTCTTTAAACTGAATACCCTCTATACCTAAAGACTGCTTCCTCCTCTCCTCTTGTTCTTTCCTATATCTCAACACCATTTCTGATACTGCCCTCCCTGCTTCGTGAGTGGAGGCAAACGTCCCTGACATAAGGGCTCCAGAACTGATGGGAAGCCGGTAGGGAAATGCACTTAGGGAAGGGAGATCACACTGTGATTCGTGTTTCTTTTCCTTTGTCTTGATTTTAGCTGATGATGAACCAAAGCAAAGCTGGGGGAAACACTAAAACAGAGGCAGGAAATCAGGGGCCCATAGGCCAAACCAGCTTGCAGACATTTAGAAACCCATATTTCCGGCTGGGTGGGTGGTTCACACCTGTAATCTCAGCACTTTGGGAGGCTGAGGCAGGTGGATCACCTGAGGTCAGGAGTTCGAGACCAGCCTGACCAACATGGCGAAACCCCATCTCTACTAAAAATACAAAATTAGTTGGGCGTGGTGGCACGTGCCTGTAATCTCAGCTAGTCAGGAGGTTGAGGCAGGTGAATTGCTTGAACCCAGGAGGCAGAGGTTGCAGTGAGCCGAGATTCTATCATTGCACTCCAGTCTGGGCAACAAGAGCAAAACTCAAAAAAATAAATAAATAAACCTGTATTTCCTTCCTAAACATTTGAATTGGTTGTAAACATTTAAAAATCAGACTTCTGGCCAAGCAAGCTGGCTTACGCCTGTAATCCCAGCACTTTCAGAGGCCGAGGAGGGCGGATCACCTAAGGTCAGGAGTTCGAGACCGGCCTGGCCAACATGACGAAATCCCGCCTCTACTAAATATGCAAAAATTAGCCAGGCATCGTGGAGGGTGGCTATAATCCCAGCCACTTGGGAGGCTGAGGCTGGAGAATCGCTTGAACCCAGGAGGTGGAGGTTGCCATGAGCCGAGATTGTGCCATTGCACTCTAGCCTGGGCAACAAGAGCCAGACTCCATCTCAAGAAAAGAAAAAAAAAATCAGATTTCGGCCGGGCACAGTGGCTCACGCCTGTAATCCCAGCACTTTGGGAGGCCAAAGCAGGTGGGTCATGATGTCGGGAGTTTGAGACCAGCCTGGCCAACATGATGCAACCCCATCTCACTAAAAATACAAAGAATTAGCCGGGTGTGGTGGCGCTCACCTGTAATCCCAGCAACTAAGGAGGCTGAGGCAGGAGAATCACTTGAACCCAGGGAAGCGGAGGTTGCAGTCAACAGAGATCACACGACTGCACTCCAGCCTGGGCGATGGAGCAATACTCCATCTCAAAATAAATAAATTAATTAATTAAATAATTAAAAATCTGATTTCACTAAAATCTACAGTTCTGGTGTCTCTTAAAAAGCGGTCAGATTTGGTAACACTGAGTCACATTCTTTCCCGGCGTTAACCAGCCGGAGCTGAAGGGGCTGGGCAAGCTCTGATTTGCCAGTTCTCACCATTCTCTAGTGCATCACACTCGCCTGCTATGATCTTTTAGGTCTGCCTGACTCCTGTTTAGTGTTTAGGTTTGTCTATGCTTGTTACCTCTGCTCTAAGCAGTTTCTCAAATATTTCCTCTGCAGGACCCCTAAGATACAAGAGAGTGAACCATTTTCCCCAGGGCTCCCAGAGCAGTCTAAAGTAGACTGTCATAAATCAGAAATGTCTTTTTTTTTTTTTTTTTTTAAATCGAGACGGGGTTTCACCATGTTGGCCAGGATGGTCTCGATCTCTTGACCTTGTGATCCGCCTGCCTCGGCCTCCCAAAGTATTGGGATTAAGGCATGAGCCACCGCGCCCAGCGAAACGTCTTTGAAGTACCTATTTTATCTTCAAAAAATGCAAATTTTGATTTACACTGCATAATATATTTGTGTTGGTTTTAGTATAAAAATGATTTATCTTCCCCCAGCAAATCTTAAAAGTAAAATTAACACTCTGGAAGATGTGCCCTGTGTATTCTGTGGCTCCAAATAGTCCTCACCATATCACCCCAGGAATAATCCAATTTAAACAGCACCGTATAAAGGCATGATGCAAAGAGAGACATGGAGAAAAGACACGGAGAAAGTCGAAAAGAGGAAAAGAATTTGAAACACAACAAGTATGTGTCTGAGTGATAAGCTCTCCGTCTGGTCCTCAGCCAACCCCTCCAGGCCTGGCCCAGTCTGGCCACTGAGAAGTGAGTAAACATCCCTGATGTCTCTGGACAGGTGTCAGTGTGGAGGCTCCGGATAGAAAGCAAGACCCGAAACAGGAGCCAAGCCAAGTAAGGGAGAGGTGAGCGACCAAGAGCAGCCAAGTATGGTCAGATGAGGAAAACTGCAGGCGTGGGGAAAGAGGCTTGGGAGAGGAAATGGAAGGCTTGGAGGAGGGCTGATCAGCTCTTGCCCTTTCGCCCACTGAGCCCATGTTTGTTGTTTCACTTCCTCTTATCACTCTGCCTAAGAAAAATGAGGTTAAAAACATGAAATTGACCTCCTTTGACAAAGTGGCTACATCTCTGGTCCTACCAGAGCCTAAGGAGGATGGGTACCATGGCTTCTTTCCCTGTCTGGACGGGACTCCACCTACTCTCTCCAAGACAGGAAACTCCTCAATCTGCACCCCTAACTTAGGTAGCTTTCTTCCCGCTGCCCCTTTTGGTAAGACAAAAGTTGCTCTGACTAACTCCCTCCTATTCCAATATTATCAACACTGCACTGAGCGTACCAAAGAATATTAGAGACAGGATTTGGCTATTTTCTCCCTTTCTCTACTGTAAAGCAAGATCAGTGTGGAATTACAAGGATAGGAAACACTTAGGAAGGGGCTGGGAGCACAGCCCAAAGCTGAGGATCCTGGGAGGAGGAGAGGTTTGAGGGTGGAGAATAATCCCATGCTCTGAGGTCATGGGGACCTAGCCCCTTTCTGCATTGGTTGAGATCAGGCCTGAGGAATCTCTGGATTCCTTCCCCAACATCTTGGATTCCCAAGGTGAGAGCTCGTAGCCATTAAGGTCCTGCAGTTAAGTTCAATCAGTCTTCCCACCGGCTCCCATTAAGGTTATGAGGGGGACCTCCCTTCTTTCCTAGATACAAAGAGGCAAATTAAAGCCTGCTGGCGATGAGCCAAAGGTCTTTCTGAGGTGACAGCAGGAAGCTAGAACTTATTTCCAGCTTTGTGGTCCCAAACGACCTTGAGGAAATGTGAGCCCCAGTAGGGGAAAGGTCAGTGGAGAAGAGGTTCACTGCTAGTTTGGCCAGATTAGCTAGTGGAACTATTCCCATTGAGCTCATTTCTCTTCTCCATCCTCTGGCTGGACATGATACATGAAGGGAGATGAAGAGGACCGGCCCACCAGCCCCTTCGTCAGTCAGAAATCTATTGGTGGCCTGTTTGAGTCCTGCTTTGCAGATTGTGACCTTGCACTCTGCTGTAGGGGTGTCCCTCTCATGCTAGTTGATGGAATTGCTGATCTTGCTACCCAAGCTGAAGCATGTTCTTGGAAACGGCTGGCCAGAAGCCTGAGGTATCTTTAGTCTGCCTAGGCCAAAAATAAGGTGGGGAAATCCAGCCAAATGGAATGTGTTCAGCCAAAGCTAGGTACAGCCTGCCTTTGTTCTCAGGCCATTTATTCTTACAGACAGATCAGCAGAAGCCCTACTATGTGAGAGCTAGAAAGGCTCCTAGTGGACAAATCTGGTCCAAATTTATATTTCACACATAAGGAATACTGAGGCGTGGAGACTTACGTGACTTTCCCAAGGGCACAAAGCTATGGACTAGTGAAGCCAGGACCACAAATAGTGTGAAACCCTGTCTCTTAAAAAAAAAAAAAATTTTTTTT